TAATGAAGCATTTAATAGAGCCTCAAAATGAAAATAGTGCCTTCTAAATTTCACAATTATGCGTTGTTTAACTGGGTAGAATAGCTTGAAGGTTTTTAAAAATTATGAAAATTTTGTGCTTCATTTGTTTAGCTTTGCTATTTAATTATACTAATAACCCATCTAACTATACTCCATTATAGCCATCTGAATTATATACGATAAGGTATAATTATGTTATGGAGTTCATATTTTTTGCAATTTGAAATTCTATCTATAATTTATTCTTGATTACGTTAGTCATAATAGTTAATTATATTGAGCTGTTAAATCCACTATTATGATTAATTCACTCTCTCTCTGGTTATATAAGACTTAAATGCCCCTGGGTATATTTTAAATCTGTATTAAGTTGGTTGATTACCAAGGAAAAGCCTTTTCGTCTTACATTGCGAGTGTCAACTACAAGAACTTTAAACAGCAATTTTACTTACTCCAACCTTTTCTTTGAGATTTTTTATTACTAACTAATCGATTCACTTTCATACATGCCTTTTACGTAGTTATGCCTTTTTTCTAATAAATACATTTAGTCGTTGAAAGAACTTATTTTTTCCCTCTTATTAACTGTCCCGCTTTTTTCTAATTTCTCCTTCACTCACTTGCTAGGAACGATGATATAATTTCTATATCCAGCGATACAGATTCTAATCAGGGATCCTCCATTGCGGTTTCGCTTTGTCAGCCCGGGTTGCGACGCCGAAAATTGCCCATTTCTTCCATTAAAGTAACAGAAATAGTTCCGCCATCTGGCACATTGAATTCAGCCTTGTCTACGAAGCGCCGACGTACAACGGCAGGATCTAGAACTTCGTCTCATTCCTTAGATGCAGATCTATTCGCCTTCACTCCACTCGACCAAACCGCCATCCATCCCTTTGCCTATGATGCTGCTACCAAGTAATATTTTTCATCTCTTTTATCGTTGTTTCACTGGCCTTTATTATAAAGCTAGGCATGTTTATTGGACTTAAATGAATATAGATTATTTGCAAACAATATCAACGGATATACTTTATTTATTTGGGCCTAATTTCTCA